CATGAGTCACTCTGGCTCGGCCGCGCTGTGGGGAGAAGAGAGGCAGAAACATTAAGTATTCATCTGCGGGAAAGTACCTCACTTCCTGTTCAAAAGTGGTTTCCTGGTACATCTCCGACCAGCAGTTCAGTCTGACATGATGACTGCATGCTTACACTCATGCATTGATAACACACTCAACGTCTCGGCTGTGGTATTCAGCAGAGTGCAACGTTTCTACAGTATACTGTGGTGTTGTACCATGTGCAGGGTAACAGTGTCCTCAGACCAGCAGATAAAATGTCAACAAACATCAAATAAGGCTCACCGAAAGCAAACCTTACACAGAATGTTAAACTCTGTTGTCAAGGTAAGTACGATACTGCTTGGTGTTTATTTGATCATATTTTGTAAGCAAACCAAGGATGACGGTGTCTGCAGTCTCTGGTAAATAAGCGTGAACCCATCCTACCCATGTATGCAAATTCTGATGTGTCCAAGATGTCAGATATCCTCAAGATAACAGAAGCATTTATAGGATCTCAATTTGGATAAAAATAACACTAAAGTAATCAAACTTACTCGGCCATATCCTTTAGCGAAACAAAATCTAACTAAATTAATGAATAAATATTAAATCACTACACATTTGAAACTATGAATAACTACAACATGAATACACAGTAGATATGAAAAACCCTGATTGAACAAATCCCTTGAAAAAAAAAAATGTAATAACACAGCAACAAAAAGAAGTCCTATGCACCATTACTACGACTTCTTTTACAATAACCAGAAATTGTGCACATGGTTGCCAACGCTTTTGTGCAATTTAGACGTTGTCCTCCGTTGTCCTCAAAAACGAGTTAAAGACCCATCTCTATGTTTCTCTCCCAGCAGCTTTGGGTTAAAATGAAACTGAATATCTGGAGGTTTTTTTTTTTTAAGCCTTGGTACATTTTGATACCATCCATAGTGACAAGAACTAAGATTATAATTTAAAAACACGTGTAATCAAGAAGTACTGAGCATTTTTATCAACCTCTGCCACATTCAGGTCGTTAGTGGAGAGTGAAGAGTCATAACGTCACAAATTTGAACACATAAAAAAACCCTTATCTGTTGTTGCTATGATGACAGAATAACTTCCAACATGTCCGACGGCTACGCCCGTGTCATAAATTGATCCAGTTTTACTATTCGACAGTACTTTGTTTTAGTCTTCATGTATCCACTCAGTGTCTCAATGATTTCCACACAGTAATGGAAGAAGTAGTGGCACTATGACTTGCACAGTGGTTTCTTATCACAAATAAAGTCAGACACTTTTACAGCTGTGAGTGAAGATGCTGAATGATGATAATCTCAGTTTATGGCTCATTAAAAAGTAAACTGACTGTCCAACAAAGAGTGTATTAAACCAGAGCAGCTCTCACAGAACAGTCTGATGGACCCAAACACCTCTGGGTCACTGAAGGGCCCGTTAAGAGTCTCTAAATTTCAATCCTACATGTCTGTTTGTTGTGAAACCCTCCACTGGAACATCTGAACTATTCAAACTATTCAAACTTGAAACTAAAAAAATTCAAACGTTGACTACAGAACAATCCGCCTGACACTATTGTATCCCTTACGTGTCCAAATTATTCTGCACATAGATTTCTGGCTTCTGAAGGTTGTGGTTGCTTTTGTTTCCACTGAAGACGGACAACAGCAGAGTCAGTTAGCAGTATATTAAAGTGTTTCCATACCTAGTTTTTGCACAGGAAGTCAAAACAAAACTGTAGGCCTAGATAACTGAAATGAAACTGAAACAATTTCCCACAGCTAGTTGAAAGAGATTGTTACTGTAGACATTTTTACCATCATGTGCACGATGCCTTCATCGAGGGGTTAATGGCCTACATTCATAACTATACAGCTTACACACTACAGTAAAGTGTTCAGAAGACAATGCTGCACTGTTAAAGAGCTTCACATCAAAATGTCATATTAACATGCATTACACTCAATGGCAGCGTTTCAATGCAAAACTAACAAATGACAGAGGAAAGGAGGAAAGGAGGAAAGGAGGAAAGGAGCTGACTGTTTGGTACTTTGGGACGGCAGTAGCTCAGTCTGTAGGGACTTGTGTTGGGAACCAGAGGGTCGCAGGTTCAAGTCCCAGTGGAAGTCGGTCTGGTAGCTGGAGAGGTGCCAGATCGCTTCCTGAGTACTGCCGAGGTGCCCTTGAGCAAGGCACCAAACCCCCAAATCCCCACCACCAGCTCAGGAACATCTCTCCATTAGTGCATGTCCATAGGATCCTGTTTGTGCATGTGGCCTGTTAAAAATTAGCTTTGCACTTTGCAACTAAATGTTGTTAAGTGCTGGACTAGTGCTGGACTAATGTTGGGTCTCTGACAGGTTGACTGAAGAAAACTACACCAACACATTGAGGAGTATTCCTGTTCAACCTTTTGTGGCATGGGGGAAGAATATGAATAGGGACATGTCTCAGATAACGTGAATGTATTGTTGAGTAAAACACAATGTGTAGATGTTGATCTAACCCTTTGACCCCTGACACTGACGTCACTGTTAACAGAGACCAGAGGCCACAGAGATGTTCATAAATGTCACTCACAGATCCGACAGGTCAAGTCCTTCCTGTACTAGTTTTGTTTAATAACAGAATTATTTACAAAATAACAAAGTGACTGAAAGTGTACTGAGTGTAACACATGTTACAGAAGTTAGTTTCATTTCAAGGGAGAACTACCCGTCTTAAGATAAGACTCAGGTACCTAACTTTCAGCAGGTTACAGTGAAACAGGTTTATATGACGTCAGAAGGTTCACAGGTAACCTAGCGACTGTTTACGTTAACAGGTTTAAACGGTTGATTTAACGGCCGAGGCTACCATACATTGAAGCTAACGGATTTAGCTTAGTGGAGCTAAAATACTGTTTAAATCTGCGACTAGCAGCGACTAAACATTTCAAAATGTCACCTGTATTGTTATGAAACAGCTGGTTCGTCTCATTCCTGAAGCTGTCAATCGACCAGCTTTATTCGTGCCGGTGCAAACAAACAAACAAACAAACAAACAAACATAAAGCTGTGCTAACGAGCCGAGCTAGCGACCCTCGTTCTTACCGAGCTACGGACCAACATGATGTCGCTGGCCCCGGCGGTCGCTGTTTTCTCCCGGTTCATCTCACATCTTGCCGGAGCGGTTTTCACATCAAGTCGGAAAAACTCGGCATCCTCCTGAGGGTTTCCTGACACTTCCAGGGTGCAACGCGGCGTGGATTAGAAGTACGTTTCTGCACTACCACCACGGAGTTACCACCGAAGTCGACGGAGAGGTAAACTGTGAAAGGGGGCTTGGCTTGGGGGGGGGGTTTCGACCAAAATTCCTCCGCTCTGATTGTAAGTTTACAGCTTGTCGGTTCGATTTATGGACCCGAATCTCCCGAGTGGGCGGGCACGGTCGTTTGATAATGCTCCGTCGTTGGAATGCGATAAACCCCGCCCTCGTGAGCTAACGTTAATTTAAAAACGAACGCGTTTCCTTACAGCGCGCGGTGCCTCCTCCAACGTGTGTCACCGTGGAACGTTGGCTGCTCCCAGATCAGCTCGTACACACGTTCGATTCTCCGTTACAGAAGTGAAGGCTGACAAATCTGACTCCAGATCGGCTCACACTTTATCGGTTAACTGGCGTTAAAGAGAGCGCGCCACCTGCTGTACCGCCGCTCACACTACAATGCAGAGGGTCTTTTTTATTAGCGTGATAAATGTACGCTGTCGTCAAGTTTAAAATGGCAAAATACAGCTAATGACAAGTATTGCTCGCGCTTAAATGACTCCGCTGTTACAACTCCGTTTTAAAGAGAAGCAGGTCAACATCACACAGTGTGTCACTATTTAGCAGGAAGACGTAGCAGCTGAAGCGCGCTGCCGACATCCCCTTGGATCACTATTTAGCAAGACGGAGAAAGGCGGGACTCGGCGGTGCAAGAATTTTTGGCTTCAATGCAAACTGTTGTCAAGAAAACCAACATAATGAATGACATGTCCGGTTAGAAACTTTTCAAACAAAAGCCCAGTGATTCAGGGATAAATCTGAGTTAAGTTAAAACAAAATAACACGCAGACTTTAATAGTACATGTGAAACATTTTACAGAAGAATATATAAGTTGTCTTAAAGCATTTTTTTTGTTCTAAATATTGCTAAATTATGAAATGCATTTTATGTTGTCAACATTTTTGGTACCACATTACAATCTTCGTCTTTTAAATGATTGATATTATCAAAGATTGATATGTAACATGTTGAAAAAGAGCTGCAGTGGTCTTTTGAAATTCACTGGTAAGCAAATACTGACCCTTGATTGGTTTGACTGCAATATTTCTCGGTTTAACAAAATAAATTACCCACTTTTAGGTGTCTATGAATTCTATTTTTGTTGCCTTGGTATAAGATAAGATAAGATAAGATAATCCTTTATTTATCCCACAATGGGGAAATTTACAAATCATATCAAAACATGTATTAATATTATTTGAATCATATTAAAGTTTAACATTGTGGTAGCTTTTTTTTATGAATTTGAATATCAGTCCTATAGCAGTCCTACTAGTGATACAATACTCTAAATAAGGAATTAACATCAGATAGAATAACTGGTTTCACTGCAAACCTGCCAATATTCAGCAAATAGATAATTCACTGCCCTGGTATTGAAACAGATATCAATAAAGTTTTTTTTTTTTAGGAGTAGTTTAAAATCTGGTATGGTTAAAAACCTAATATCCATACAGTTATAAAGGTGTGGGAATGTAAACACATAAATAAGTTCTCCTTAAAACTGTTTTTTATTTGTTTATATCTTAATGATAAACACGTATAGTATTCCTTAATTGTTTTCAAGTAAATAAGATATAAATCTATTTTAATAACATTGCATCAAAAAAAAAAAATCTGTTATTTTATTTTGAAAACTGCACCGCCTAACTTCCGGTCGCCCTCCATCTTAGCGCAGCTAGCTTGACGCAGCGGAGAACCAAACGGAGGCAGAGCGGATCAATTTGGAGCTACGACGGCTGATCGGGATTATGCGGCGACACTGATTGCTGCATCGGTAAGAATCTGCGGCCCCTGGCACCTCCGAGCGAGCCGTTTACCGGCCCGTTTGTCCGCTTTCACGTTTTACCGCAAACCAGCTAGCATAGCGCCAGTGTTTTTCCCTCACAGACCTCCCCTCTCCCTTTGTTCGCTTGCGCCTTTTTTTTTTTTTTTTGCACCGATGCGGGTTTTGTAAATACTGGCGCAATATGGCTGCCGTCTGTAGGGGGGTTTGACCAATTGTCACTGCACATGTTTTAAATATTCTCGGCTGCTTTCAGGTGTGGTGGTAGTGTGTCCGTCAGGTATCTAAGGAGGGTGAAGTGTGACCTCTGGCTGGTCATCTTCATCCTCATCATGAGCCAAAACAAGCAGCAACTCCTCCTCACTCATTCACTCACTCACAGCAGACACACTAACAGACTGCCTGCTGCTATGTTAATGTGAGCTGATTGTTTTCAAAGTGTTAAATCACTGTGTGTGTGTGTTTGTATGTGTGTGTGTGTGAACACCAAACAATGAAATGCAGATGAAGCTGAGGACAGTGGGCTGACAGGTAAACCCAGGTGAGGTCATCCTGAAGCTCCCTCACATCTGGACTGTGTTGACAATTCTGAATGAATGAATTGTTGTTGTTAACATTGAGCAGAGGCTGTTTGTCCACCTGAGCACTGATTTATCAAGTCATTGTGTTGGAGCATGTTGTCGTTCCCTTCAGACCTCGATACGGCTGGGCGATGTATCGTTATCCATACAAACGCATCGTAAAAGTCTGAATTAATCGCAGTGAATTGGAAGAGTTTTTCACGCAAGCGAACGGTGCTTCTTTTCATTGAGGCGTGTTGTCACATGTGTTCATGTGGTCATACATTCTGTACATATTCATAACTGAAGACAAAAAGAACGAGGCTGTCGTGTGTTTCACGTCATGTTTCCGTTATAATTCAAAAGTTGCCGTATTCAGTAAAAGCAGTTTTCACATCTGCACTCCTGAAAATATCTAGATCACTACAGGAGGACTGCTCTGGATATCCTCCTGACCTGGCTGTTCACACATGCACCTCACAGCTGGAGACTTATCACTGTCAGAGGGGAGGGGAGGGGGCGGGGCCTCCTGAGGTCAGACGTGACGTTCAAAAAAGACGCAGAAGCAGCTGACAAAGAATTCTCTATAATGAGAATATTTGCCTTTAAATCAAAGCTCTGTGTAGTTCAACTGAATGACAACATCCACTAAACAAAAAACTGACAAACACAAAAATGTAATGCAGTCGTTTATTTCCGGGTCAGGGATCGTAGCGGTCTCCCTCTTCTATTGGCTCGAGGTGAATTCTCTTAGAATATCCTGAAAAATACTAGAGGTGTGTCAGGAGAAACTCCGGGTGAAGTCAGAGTGAAAAATGTGTCTGTTTGCATTCACACACACGGCTCCTCTGGAGTATATCAGGAGGTTTTCAGTGTGAAAGTCCTATAAGTTTAGATTCTGGTCCTGAATGGTCTGGATTTGTTTGGACAAGAGAAGGTAGACTGTTTTAAGGCGCCCCCACACGGCCGTGTTGGACGGTTTGCCAGACAAACGGCAGAGCGACTATTCATCATCAGCTAAAGATAAAGAGTCCATCATCTACCCGAGGCTGATGAGCGGCGTGATGAAACTCTCACACACCCTTTTTATAGGTCACTCACATCCTGATAATGATAAATGTCACATTCAAGGACTTTTGGGTAAATTAAAAACACGAGTCGCTTCTATAAAATTGATTTTTTGGTCTTATACTTTGAATTCTTTAACCAACAAATTCTTGACAAAGCGCCTCTTGATGCTTTCAGCTCCATGTGTTTGTTTTGTTTGTTTGTGTTTTCTTCCAGCGGATGTTCTGCCTCTGTCACAGATTTCTAAAGGAGAGCTGTTCGCAGCGTCAGATTAGGCCTTCTTGTTCAGGTTCCACTAAATCACTCGCCTCTTCCTCGCAGTGTCTTGTTGTGCCAGCGTGCGTCCTCATGTGATGGCCCTGTAGTGGTGATGACACGGCTCGGCTTCGATGTAAACCGCCTTCAAAGACCAGCCGCGCACTGACGCTCGATTATGTCGAAAGAAAAATCCTTTGAGGGATTTGTGACAGAAAGAGATGACTGACAGAGAAGATCAACTTCTCCTCTCTCTGATCTCACCTGGAGACCCTCCAGCGTGGGAACAATCACAGTTTACTGACAGATCTGCAGATATGGGGAAGAAAGAAGGAGATTTTACTCCAATATGAGTATGCTCAGGTTTCTCAAAAGGCTCAATTCTAGATATATTTTGCATCGTTATACGAGGCAGACCGGCGTCTGCACAGCTGTTAGCTCTATTTACAGATTCTGCAGAACGATGCAGAATCTAGATTTAGTTTTTCTAAGTGTTCTTTTTTTCTGTAAGTAGTTGGAGTCGTCATCGTCCACGAGCTGTTGGCTGTTTTCAGAAAACATTATGTGTGGATAGCAAGACAGGCGGGACACAATCCGCCACCAGCAGTCCTGTAACAACGCTAAGCTTTACAGATGTATTTGAACACACATCTGCATGCAGCTGCAGCTCTTCATGGTCGTCTCTTAACACCACCTCCATCATCGCTCTCAAGTTGCCCGTCGTACAGAAAAGGTCGTCGCTGACCGCTGGCTACACCAGAAGACTCTGAAGAGTTGGCCGTAGCTCCCAGAGGATCGTAGAGCTGGTCGATATGATAATCCTTTGTTTATCCCACAATGGGGACATTCACAGTGTTACAGCAGCAAAGAGCAAAGATCGCAGACAAAAAGTGAACACAGTATGGAGTTCTTACGATGTATCGAGATGGGATGAGAAAATATATTTAATATTTATATCTTTAAAGTTGATAATGCCTTGAAATAATGTGATAGGTAGCCCTGTTCAGACGCAATATTGACGCCCCTGTGACGTCGAGGGTTCGATTCCCAGCTCCTGCAGCAACATGTCCGATGTGCCCTTGGGGAAGACGCTTAACCCTGAATTGATCCCGCTGCTTTGTCGACTGTGTATGTCATTTTCCACAGCAGCATCTACCATCAGTGTGTGAATGTGTAGGTGTGACCTGCGGTGTTAAAAACACTTTGAGTAATCAGAAGAAAAGAACGATACAAGCTGAAGTCCATTTACCATTTCACAGCCTTACTTTGAGCTCTCTGACGTCAGACGTCTCATGCTGACGTCTGACGTGCTCCTTCTAATGAGGAGTCTCTTTTGATTCTTCAGGTTTTCTGTGAGCACGGCGCCCTGTTCTCTGTGGGGGAGCTCCTGCTGACATATCAGCGTTATCTGGATGGAGGGAGTCTTAACTGAAGTCGCTCGGCTCAGTCACGATTTTTAAAAACAGGACATGATGATGCGTCTGACTACATCAAGCTGACCTCTAAAACATATCCTGTTAGTGTCTGGTTTGGTTTCATCGCCCAGATAGATTCTTCACTCATACAATCTGCACACACGAGGAGCTGGAACCAAAACAACGAGTTTGAATTACAACCTGATGTGTGCAGGTTGTCTCTGGATCGCCTCATGAAAACTGTTGACTATTAGCTGCGGTGATGAATTTCGAATTCACTGCTTTTCTTCATCTTCAGTGATTTCACTCCGAGGATGTTTGTCAGACAAAACGAGGCGTGTGAAGGTTGCTCGGCCTGAGCTCTGCTGTCTGCTGTTTTATTGATACGGCGAGGAGAGATTAAAAGGGATTCCGGGCTGAACTAAACCCCGTGTTCCTGACACACACTGTCCTTGTAGCTGTGTGTTGATGCTGGAAGCAGTCACATCTCTAAATCTTGGGTCCTTTAACGATCACTTTTTCATCCTCAGTCCCGAGCTTTAATCCCCCCACATCAGACCTCCTGCTGCCTCTCTGGCTTTACCCCCCCCCCCCCCGGGTCTGCTCGATCCCGGGTCTGATCCTGGTCTGATCACAGCCTGCTGCTGTCGGGTAGAGTTACTGCAGCGCTGCATGTGTGTCAGGGGTCTGTGGTTCGGTGGTTTCTGTTGCAGTTTGTGCTTGTTGTAGTGCATCGTGCAGCGCTCAGAACCCCCCCCCCCCCCAGTCTCTGCCCCCGTTGTTTATCGCAGATTTGATCACCGTGAAGCCGTTATCTGCAGAGGAGTGTGCTTCTGTGTTTCAGAGCAAAATCATCATATCGCTGATGTACTTTTCCCAGCAGTGCTGCTCTGTGTGTGTGTGTGTGTGTGTGTGTGTGTGTGTGTGTGTGTGTGTGTGTGTGTCCTTGTAAGACAGAACATTTCTCTGGTTATCTGTTGTTTTAGCCTCCACTGCTGCTGCCTCTGGATTTCACTTGATTCTGATTTTTATTTTTGGATTTGTTGAGCACTTATTTTTGTGATCTATAGTTTTGAAAAGTACCAACACTTTACTAATCATTGAACCAAAAGCTGCCGCCTGCAAACGAAGGAAAGCAGCCGGCGACCGTTCAAATTCATAGGTTGGCACATTCTGACATTTCTCCTTCAAAAGTTACATTTGTGTCTCTTACAAACAGACAGAGAGCAGACGAGGTGACGCACAAACTGCTTATGAAGTTGTGCCATTCACACGGTGTGAAGGAGTTAGCCTCTGAGTTTGTAAAAACGGCATGTGGATGTTAACCTGCGGGGACGAGCAGTACGTCGTTTAACTGCAGACCTTTTGAAATAACAGGGCTTTCACATTTGCAGAAAACTCCCAGGAGGAGCTGCATGTGTGAACGCAAAAAGCCACATTTTTCACCTGGAGTTTCTCCTGCCAGACCCCCACTAGCAAGTCTGAGTGAGTTGATGTGAGAAGGCAGCAGGATATAATCAGGAGAATTCACCTCGAGCCAATGGGAGGGGGGAAGTGGCGTTTGTTGATGTTGTCATCCTTTGGACTACACATTGCATTGATAAAAGGCAAATGTTCTCATTATAGCGTCGTATAGCGGACTCTGTCAGGAGAATCTCCTGAGCAGTCCTCCTGAAATGATCTAGATCTTTTCAGGAGTGTAGATGTGATAACGGCTTAACTGTGCTGGATTTGGACTGTTGGAGTGTTTTTATACGCTGGACGAGGTTTAGTCTGAGTTTCAGTTTCTGTTCATCGGAATAGGGAATAAGTCACTGAGGAACGTTACTTACTTTATCCAAAAGTCTGAAGTGTGGTTTTGTAACAACCCTATTTGACACCTTAAATAAAGGTATATATATATCAGTCATTGAGCTTCACAGACAGAAAGTGAACAAGTTAAAAGTTGTGTTTTTGTGCAGCAGTCCTGTTAGTAATAAAAAAACTTTAAATGAGGAATTGACAAGTTAGAGACACAACCTTATTCCTCTGATGTTTCAGACACCAGAACAGATGTTTTCACTGAACTACAGCTGCAAATATTCAACCAGTTCATCCATTTGTAGGAAACTAGTTCATTCTTTTGCAGTTATTTTTTTTTTTTTTTGCAAAGGCTGAGAAAAATCTCTGTTTTCAGCTGGTTTTTGTCCTTTGACCTTTGACCCAGTGACCTGTGCTTGTGATCAGGGGTCCAACGTCTTTGTTCAACAGTAATCTGGTTAGTCACGGAGCTCAAAGTAGGTGAAGATTTTAATTTGTCCTGATGTCGCCTTTGTTTTGTTAAACATGCGTTCCTTTGTCAAAGTAAAACAAGCGACCCGGGGGAGGAGTTTGTGTCTTTTGACTGTTTGTTCAGGAACTGTTAGGATCATGTCTCGTTTATTTAACTTTGAACAGACCGCGCCAACAAAGTGACATATGACATCTACGATCCATAATTTCACGAGTAATAAAACAGGCAAACATTTTCATTTTGGCATTTCAAAATAAGCAAGTTTTTTCGTGCTGAGCTGCATGTGTGAACGCAAACAGCAGAATTTTTCACTCTGACTTCAGATCAGGAGGATTTCAGAAGCAGTCCTCCTGAAATGAAAGTGCAGATGTGAAAGCGGCTGTATAGTAATCTCTCTTTCTGTATCTCTGTTTGTTGCACTGACTCCGTCCATCTGATGGGCAGACAGGTTTCTATTCTATAAAATAACTGCTTCAACAATCGGCTGAATTTTTGCCAATTTAATGGTAAAAATAAAGTTTTGATTTATTTTGGATTCAGGAGAAACATGTTGCAAACAGATTTTGTGTCAAACAGGAACATCAGAAAGTGAAACTGAGAGTCCCTAACTTTAATATTTAGTGACTTCTGTCCCTTCATGTCGTTATCACCGTACTGAGTGATGTAATCCACGTCTCATCTTCATTCCTGTTCTCATGCCCGTCCCTCTTGTCCCCTCCAGGCTGAACATACTGTGTCCTCATCGAGTCTATCAGCTGTGACGTCGCCTCAGTCTCCAGGTTTTAGTCTGTCCCCGGCCTGTATGCAGCCTGCCAAGGGCCCGGCCTAACTCCTGGTGCTCCTTCTCTCCCACCTCCTCCTCCCTCCTTTCCCTACCCTCCTCCCCCCTGCCCCCCTCCCTCCATCCTCACCCCCCCCTGCCTGGTGTCATACACAGACTCCCAGCATTTAGCCCCGACCGGCGGCCTGGCTGGCTGCCCCCATACAGGTGGATGAATGAAGACCCCATTCAAGAGCCCAGCGGCCCCGCGGCCCCGAGCAGACGGGGGTGAGTCCCTGAATACATCAAACACTGAAAATGAAAACCAGATATCACACAATCAAACAACAATTTCCTGTTTGCATCCTGACTCTCAGAGCTTTGATGTCAGATGGTCCTTGAACGCACCACCTCCTGATTAATGAACGCTGAATGTTTGTGTTTCAGGACATTCTGGAGTTTCTGCAAATATGATGAAGAAAAAGAACACACACAAGTAAGTCTGATGAACGTGTGAGGCCAAGAGGAGAGGAGGGGGCAGGGGGAGACAGCTCAATGTTTTGAATTTAGTCTGCAGTACCCATTTTCAACACTAGAGGTCAGAGTTACATACTGCTCCTTCATATAAGTGTAACACAAAAACAATGGAGGCAGCAATGGACCAGTAACTCTTGTTTTCTGAAATGTCAAATTACATTTATGTATCATTGGGTCTGGTGTATTTGAAGAAAGCAATGTAGCATCTGTTTCTTTGTTTGATCTTATTTAATTATTTATAATATAAAGAAGCCTGAAAGCCGGAGTCAGAACTGAAGCTCATCATCTGTTTAATCTCCCTCTTCTTCCTTTTTAATCTGCATCTCTCGTACATTCCTCTCTCTTTCTCCTCTTGTCCACCTCTATCCACATCATCACTGTCATCTTATCTTTGTTGTTCTTCCTGCAGGAAACAGAAAACCAGTGTTGGTCCCAGTAAGGCTCTGGCTCAGCCCAGGAGAAACATAGTGGGCTGCAGGATCCAGCACATCTGGAAGGAGGGCAGTAAGTCAGATTTAAACAGATTTACTCTGACCATTATGACAGTGAGGGAACATTTTGTTCAAACTACAGGCCATGTGTTTCTGATCAGCTGATAAATCTTTGTGTCCGCTTCCTCTCAGGTAAGTCGTCTCAGTGGAAGGGGACGGTCCTGGATCAGGTTCCTGTCAACCCCTCGCTATACCTGATCAAATACGACGGCTTCGACTGCATCTACGGCCTGGAGCTGTACAGCGATGAGCGGGTGGTGGGGCTGGAGGTCCTCCCTGACAGAGTGGGTGAGTACTAATCAAGCTTTGTTAATAATGTAGTGAGGCTGGGGGCTTCACCGTTCACCCACATTTAATCTCTGATGACCGCTGAGTGTCACATTGACTCGCTCTGTGATTGGTCCAGCTCCGGCCCGCGTGAGCGACTCCATGCTGGCGGAGACGATGATCGGGAAAGCGGTGGAGCACATGTTTGAGACGGAGGACGGGCCGAAGGAGGAGTGGAGGGGGATGGTGCTGGCTCGCGCTCCCATCATGACCGCCTGGTTCTACATCACCTACGAGAAGGACCCGGTGCTCTACATGTACCAGCTGCTGGACGACTACAAGGAGGGAGACCTGCGCATCATGCCCGACTCCAGTGAGTTAAAAAAAGATCATGAAACCGGTTCTGATGGACCAGAGAGACCAGGGTTCAGTTTGACACCGGGATCAGGGTCAGTTCAGTCTTTAAACAGAAGTTTACAGCCTGCATGTAACTTACACCTCTCTCTCTCTCTCTCTCTCTCTCTCTCTCTCTGAAGACGACAGTGTGACGACGGAGCGGGAGCCCGGCGAGGTGGTGGACAGTCTGGTGGGTAAGCAGGTGGAGTACGCCAAAGAGGACGGCGGGAAGCGGTCGGGGATGGTCATCCACCAGGTGGAGGCCAAGCCGTCCGTCTACTTCATCAAGTTCGACGACGACTTCCACATCTACGTCTACGACCTGGTCAAGACCTCTTAAGACCTGAAAACGTGGTCAGATAAAGACTTACTGAGACCTGCCTAGACCCACTGAACCCCCCCGCACCCCCCTCCCCCCTCTCGACGCCCAGTGAAGAAAAGTACAGCTTAAACGTCCTGACACTCCCTCCGATCTACAGAGACTCCTGAGACAGACGATAACATCCCTCGACTCTTTTTTTCATGATACGCCTTAAAAAAAAAATCCTGATGAACAAAAACGTTGAGACCAGCTACAGGTCTACAGAAGACCCCCCTGAGGTGTGTTGACTCATCATCCATCATTCATCATACATGTCCGGACATCTTCACCTGACACCTTTACCCTGAAAACGACCCTGAAGAAGACAAGCGAGCAATTCAGGGTCATTTGGAATAAAAACTTAAACATGTCCCCGATGTAAACAAAAACTCTCCAATAAAATCTGGTTCAGTCTGAAAACTTGAGTCCTGCAACTTGAGACGTCCAGAGATCGACGAGGTCACGATCCTGACACCCCTCCGGACCAAACTTAACAGGTCTGATACGATTCTCTTCAGGGTCTAAGCTGCTCTGAAACCACCTGAGGAAACGCACAGACCTCCTCCCCCCTTTCCTGAGACCCTGTCAGACTGTCTGAGACCATTACGTGTCCAGAGGAGGGGGGGCTGAACGGGTCTGCCACGTCTGCTGGGTTAATGAAGGGATGGGACTTCGGGACTACAGGGCCCCTTTAAGGCGTTCACAGAGGCTGTAAATGGACACACGGGAGAAACTCTTGTCCAATCAGAGAGCATCTTCTTGACCCCGCCTTCTTAAAGTGGAAAAACCAGAGGACACAGACTCGTTTCTTTTTCCATTCTGTAATCATTTGTCTTTTTTTTTTATTTCGCTGTTGATTCCTACATTACCCAGAAGGACTTGGCGATGAGCTGCTCGGCTGCATCAGTTGTTCTGACGGGCGCCGTAGCGTCATTATCCGTCTCCATGAAACCAGTCGGCTGCTCGCCGCACGTTGCGCTCATGGTCGACTCCCAGGTTCAGTTTGAGCAGCGAAAGATAAAAATGACTGAGACAGGATTTAAATTCTTCTTTTCTGGTGACGGTTGAACATGAAGGTTCGACTGATGTGGGCGGATTTATTTTATATTTGTGCCAAAAGACAAAGAAAAAATGTTTCAGATCGTTGAGAACGAGGATAAAAATGCTCAGTGATGAAATTTTCTCACACCAGGGTTTGATGGTTCAGATGAGAATGAGTTGCGGTCAAAGAAACGTCCATATTTTGTAAAATCTTCTTTGTGAGATGATTTGATCGGAGTAACGCTCTTCTTTAACCCTCTTATTAAACTTTTATAACCAGTGAGATCATTTCAACTACGGAAACATCTTTGTTTTTTTTATTACAGCTCGTTTATTCACATTTCATAGTCTCCAAATATGGTTACTAACATGTCCAATAATAAACGATCACATCTACAGAAGCCCTTAAAGGACATGCATCCATTTTTTTTATTATCCTCGTTTCCCCGTGATAACGAGTCGTTTCTTGACTTATTTATATTATTATTATAACAACGCTGGTTTTCCTGTGATGAGTTCATTTCTGAAGATTTCTAGAAAAGATTTAAATGTACTCATTATCACAGTAAACATAACGAGTTATAAAATGTCCTTTTTGGGCTCCCATACATTTCTGAATAGCACTTCATTAAAGAGACCTTTAAATCGTTTCCGACGCTAATAGATGTTTAAGAAGGGGGTTAAAAAAAACGTACCTTACAGTGTGTCCTTACAGTGTGTCCTTACAATGTGTCCTTACAGTGCGCGATGTTAGCATCAGCTTGATTCTGCAAACGACGCAGTGCGAAGCAACATCATGCGGTGTGCCCTTTTAACCCCCGCGTCATCAGTGTGTCCACCTTCAAAATAAAAGCACCACATGTGAAACTGTTTGCAAGGAGAAACTGGATGGAAATATTTAACGGGTGCAGTGTGTGCAGCGCTCGCGTTCTGTTAGGACCCGTTGTGTTAAAGCAGAGACTGGATCTCCATTCTCATCTGACCATGGGAATCATTACCTTGAGTATCTGAATTTTACTTCATTGGCTTCTCTCAGACGGCTGCTGCAGTATTAATCCCTCAAAAACAGTCAGCTCAAAAGTTTAACAAATCAGCAAACCGTCACGCCAGTAAACCTGAGTGAAAGTGAAACTGTAAACCTGCTCCTGAACGAGGCGACCTTGAGCGCTGTTCTCTGATTGGTTAGACATCTGTTGGGAGTTGATACAAAGTTTTTTTTAATATATTTTTTTAATCTTTGCCCACTGCTGCTGTTCACTTCTGTTTTGATATCAAAGTTCTGCATTGTTTCCTCTTTGTCTATATGTTTATACCAGCTGGCACACAGATCGCCTTGTTTTCCTTTTGTACGTTTTCTTTGGTTTCGTTCACCTCTTGTTGTTCTGTGGATACTGTATATAACCCAGGTAGCATTCAGAAACGGTTTGTCGGTTTAAAAGTTCAAATTTCATCCAAATTTCTTGAAGATTGAAGTTCAACTCAATTTGGTTTGTGAGTAGGATGATTCTTATTCTCAAGCTGTTTGCCTGATAACAAATCTCTCCTTTCTTCTATGGAAATATACGTTTTCACAGAGGATTGGGGATGCCTCCCTCTCCCTCTTTTTTTTTGTTTACAGGGGAGGCTGGAACATCCTCCCTCATGCATTTCCCCTCCAACACTCCTGTCCTCTTAGCAAATGTAGCTGCAGCCACCACAGTAGGCTTAGGCATCACTACCAGTGATACATTTGCATACACAGCCATGTTGCCTGACCCACATCTCATGTGCCTGAATGGACTCAGAGACCTTTTACAAAAAGTGTGTAAAGAAGGTAAACGTTTCCAAAAACAGAGGGTTCTCTTTTCTGGATCCAGACTTTCTCAAATCTAGAAAATTCCTGGTGTTAGTTCTGTTGCATTGGCTCCCTGGTGTTTGCTCCATAACATGTTGATGTATTGCAAATCTGTTGTTTGATATTGTGAAACATCCTCTCAAGTTTTTAATCCAGAACATAAAGAGGCTGGAATGTGAACGTTTGTTTTGTGGAAATGGTACAACATGATTGGAGCCTTCCCAGTTCTTACCAAAAGAAATCATCTTAAAAGATGCACCACTCTAGAAGATAGAATCAGGATCTAGAGACTTGATTCACAGAGCTTTGCATCCTCCTTTTAGATCCCAGACAATCTGATACTACCTTAGAGGAAGAACATTTGGTTGAAGAACATCTTGTAGGGATTGGTTATTCTAGAGTTGGAGAATCTAGCGTCAAATCAGCTTGATGACTGCTCTAGAATCACTCTGATTTCTGGGTTGAGTTCCCTTTTTAAACAGAAACATCTTGCTGAAGGAGCTACTCGACAGCTGCACTAATAAGACACTGCTTCGGGTTATTCAGTACGATTCTAGAGCACACACTTTCCGCTTTATTTTGCTTTTCTAGAGTCTGTGGTTTGTTTACCTCATTTGTTATGGTCCATGATAATAATCACAGACTGGAACATTTTAAAACAGACATTTTAACTCTGAGTCCACACGCCCAGTTGAAAGGAACTCCCCTTTATTGCACTGTTCAAGAACATTTTACTCATATTTAAATAACTTATAATGCTTCTAGACTCTGGACTTATATTGCACTCATCACTGCTCTGGAATCAGTTTCTGGAGTGGATCCAATCAAAATTATACGCTTAGTATATTTGCTGAAGAACAAAAACATTTCCTTTCCTTGTAACACACAGCTTCAGATTCTAGATTCTAGAGGTTTCAATATATTTTCTAACTAAGTCTAGAGTCGGAGAGTTTTATCCAAGAATTTTACTATATTTCTGATGGTCTGTATAAGATTTTCTTAGGCCCATGTCCACCTAGCATTTTTTTTCTCAGAGCCAGCGTCTTTTTTCAGATGTTTTAAATGGGTAGCGAACGTTGGCAGCAGAAAGCGCCGCCTGGATGAAAAGCGCAGCGCCCAGCGTCTTTTTTAAAAGTGCTCTGCCCTTTTCGTGCGGCCGCTCTGAGCGCTCTAGTTGAAAATCTTTCAACTTTCAACTTTTCAGAAAGGAGCTGTTGACGTAACCAGCGCTTTTCTGCCCGGAAAAAAAAACGCTAGGGGGACGCGGGGCCTATAGACATACTCATTAAATTTAAGAACTACAACATTCTAGAAGACATTCTATAATCTGAACCCCGCACCGGGCTGGGAACAGTACGCCTTCATTGTAGAGTCAGTTCCAGAAAAGAACTCAAATTCAAAGTAATCGCCTTGATTCTAGAATCTAGCATTCACATATCTATTTCAACTCTAGAATTAAATCAGTCAAAAATGTGTGTGAGCTCTGAGTTCCGATTCTAGAATGTGGTTCTGGAGCAATCCAACATTCTAGAACACTCGCACGGTCCCACCAGTTCTGATTCTAGAATCTGTCTGGTGGGGAAACATGGCGCCAGAATTGTCGAGTCAGTACTCTATTTATGTCTGCCATTAAAGCGCATCCGGATCAGCTCTAGAATCAGGGTGATTTTTCTGAAATGTATCCAATCCAAATGCGTACGAGTCATGAGCCATCTGAAGAAACTTCTGATTGTATTCCGTGCGAGGGTTGGATTGGATCTGTTCGTTCTGAGTCTTGGATTGGTTGACCACGTTCCTCTGTGCTAGATAAGACGACCTAAAATAAAATTCATAAATAATATAGAATTCTAGAACTTGCATCATAAAAATGTTCCAGATTTTAAAAAAATACACAAGGCGAGCAGAACTGAGTCTAGAACACCTGTTTTCATATTGAAACCCACAGCTTCGGATTCTAAACGTATCCAGTGCACCCTCATTGACGAGTCAGTTCCAGAGAAATACTCATATTTCAACGAATTGTTCAGGTATAAGAATCTAGAATCATTTACAGATCTAGAATTTTCTGGAGCATACTGAGTGTGAGCCAGAACATGCGTCTTGCTTTATTAAGAATACACTGGTGTAAATCTCAGGCGAGTAGATCTTTCTAGAAGGAACATTTTCTTCTCCAGGTCTCTGCGCCCTGATTCTGGAATTCATTTTATTTGGATAAACACTTTAGAAATCTTGACCACAGAAGACCACAGTGATCTCGACAGAACAAACACGTTTGCTGTTCAGTGGAGCTCGGTGTCACAAGCTGTTAAAATCATTGTGGTCACAGGATAACAACACACATTTCCAGACCTCTGTAGTTTCAGATTAAATCGTCCACCGAGAACAATCTGGAGAGCAGATTTTCATGTTTCAGGATCTAGAAGACTTTGTTCGCCCTCTTCCTCCGACCCTGGTTTCTTTTTGTTGTTTCTTTTACCTGTTGTTACTCCGGTCACCAAGGCAACTTGTTTAAAAATCAGCTGGTGGCCATCGAAAAACGTCACAATTACAGGAGACCTGGTAGTCGTGGGAGCTTTACCCACAATGCACCTGGCTCCAGGCTGATTCATGCTCGACTCCTGGGTGGTTATTTGGGGGGGGGGGATAAAAACCTGTGTCTGGGTGGATCCTCAGCCTCCGTGATGTGGACATGAGTAGTCGTCTGTTCAGGAGCCGACACGCTGTTGGTATTTTACAGAAAAACATTGATGTGTGTGTGAGAGAGAGAGAGAGAGTGTGTGTGTGTGTGTGTGTGTGTGTGTGTGCTGTCGATCAGCCCCTGTTCAGAGCAGTGTTGTTTTTGCATGCCTATATTCTAGCTCGGTGTAAATCGATGTGAGTTGCATGTCTGTGTAGTTTTCAGTTGTTCGGCTGACTTCTGTCTGTTGTGGCTTCGGGTGCCTTTTGTTTTTTATTTTCTGTTTTATTTTTAATTTTTCTTTCCCTGTTTTTTTTTGTACCGTGTGTCCCAGAGGCTGATGTGTGTTTTTGGGGTTCTTGAGCAAAAAAAATATAGAAAAAGAAAACAAAGAAAATCCTCCTACCAACAGATCTGCCAGCAGTTATCGTGATGACGGCTGTATAACGTCTGTTTTTGGGCGGATTGTCCCTTTAAAGAGTGCCAACTACAGATGCCAGTGTTGTACAGCAGTGAAGATCTCACACTATTTACTAAAATAAACCATTTCTCTGTTTTTTCACTCGGGAGTCTGTCCGTTCTTTATGGATTTATGGATTTCACTGCAACACAGATCTTCAGTTCAGAGTCATCAGAGAAGTGCAAAGTGCCTTACATTAAAACATCAACACAGCAACTATATGACCCTCCCCACACGCCACATTATGAGACAGATGTTTATTGTTACTTAGTTCTTTGGGTGTGTTGATAGCAATAAAATACACTTCATAATAATACTTTCACAATAACATAAATATAATTCCGTTAAATGTGACTTTCAGTCCAGGATCAGAAAGGCTGAGGCGCACAGCGTAACAAGTGAAGGCAGCACCTTTCACAGATGAACTGTGAACATCCAATCATCACTTTCATGAACTGGAAAGATCATATAGTCCACATGACGCTGAACGTTTCTCTAACGTCTCTCCACCTCTTCCACTCACGGTCCAACATCTTCACACCTCGACATGTTTTCATTTCATTCTTTAGAAGCTGAAGCTGAAGCAGTCAACTTCTCCTCTTCAGTCTCATCGTTAATCTGATTTTAACAACAAGAAAGCGGAGTTCTGTAATCTACCTGGAGCGGTGTTTTGAAAGTAATTAATTTGTGGGCATTTTTTCCTTAATTGGATAGGACAGCTGAAGAGAGACAGGAAAAGTTGGGTGGAGAGAGCGGGGGGGGCAAAATGCAGCAATGGCCTGAGGTCGGATTCGAACCCACTTTGACAAGGACTATAGCCTTCGTACATGGGGCACATGTCACAACCACGAAGCCATCAGGCGCTCTAAGAGGAAGGATTTTGAATGCCTTTATTATTTTCACTTGGTTTATTGATGCTCTGTTAACAGCTTTGTTTTATTCTTACTTTATCACTTTAGTCTTTTATTTAAACCTAAATGATTTCTTGTTATCATAACCTTTCACAGAAACAAACTGCTCAGGTGTAACTTTGGTAAATCTATGTGCGAGAATGTAAAATGATTCATTATTATATGGACGATGGAGCTCAGTCTGTAGGGACCTGGGTTTGGAAACGAGGGTTGTCGGTTCAAGTCCCGGTGCTGGTTAGTTCACTTCCTGAACACTTCTGAGATGCCCTTTGGCAAGTTCCCCATCCCTCCACCAGCTCAGGGGCGCTCACTGTGTGCAGCCCCCTCACTCTGACATCTCTCCATTAATGCATGAGCATGTGTGTGTGTTTGTGTGTGTGTGTGTGTGTGTGTGTGTGTGTGTGTGTGTGTGTGTGTGTGTGTGTGTGTGTGTGTGTGTGTGTGTAGCATGTTTAACAACAGAGTGAAAAAGTGAATTAAAAAAAAGGTTTCATACAAGTGTAGTAAACCTCCAGGGCGCTAGGGGACACAGTTGCTTCATTTTCCCGTAGTAGGCTATATCCCACAATGCACCGCTCCAGGTAGATTAAAAAAACTCTGCTTTCTTGTTGTTAAATTCAGATTAACGATGAGACTGAAGAGAAGAAGTTGACTGCTTCAGCTTCAGCTTCAGCTTCAGCTTGTAAAGAATGAAATGAAAACATGTCGAGGTGTGAAGATGTTGGACCGTGAGTGAAAGAGGTGGAGAGACATTAGAGAAACGTTCAGCATCATGTGGCTGTATGATCTTTCCAGTTCATGAAAGTGATGATTGGATGTTCACAGTTCATCTGTGAAAGGTGCTGCCTTCACTTGTTACGCTGTGCGCCTCAGCCTTTCTGATCCTGGACTGGAAGTCATCTTACACTCTGTAATATGTATTTAACTGAAAAATAAAATGTACATCATAAGTTTAGGGAAGAAGATGACCAAATGCGGCTCAAACACAATATAGAAGTTAGAAGAATAGTAATATATTAAAATATAATAGACACAAAATAAACAACAAATAATACCAATGCCCAGAGCATCTGAATAAGTCACCTTTTCATGCACACTACAATATTAATATTATTTAAGATTGATATATATGTATATTGTATTACATTAGATAACTGATAATTATTATTCTATATTACATTATATTATATTTTATACATATATTTTGAATTGAATTATATTATATTACAGAATATGATATTATATTGCACTGTACTATATGATACTATAATATATATTTATATTTTATAACTGACTTTAACACGATGCACACACGTCACTCCAAAGACTTGAAATCCAAGATCAACTCGAAACATAAATACAAATAAAAATAAATAAAAATAAAAATCATAGATTTAATTAGAAAAACGTAGTTTTCTTTAAAGTCTCGCGATACTCTCTCGCGTTGACGTCACAGCATCCGCGACTTTGCCCATGCAAACAAAAAAATGGTGGCACCCTGACCGTACATGTGGCTCTGAAGACGGACAAACTCATCCAAGATCGACACTGCTTTCTTTGAAATATCTTTCAAAACAAAACAGCAGACTCGCAGCTGAAGCTCCGTGAAGATCTGAAACATGCAACACGACGACGTAAGTGTGACACGTTAATCTGAATCTGACCACAACGTGCTGCCCGGCCGCGATGCTAACGTTAGCCTGCCGGTAACTTTATAAAAGATGTTTTGTGTGACTTATATTTAATCTTTTCTCTGGAATGACTGTTAATTTAATATGTAATATCATTTTTATATAAAACATCTGTATTTGAGGCACTGGCACTAAACTAGTTAGTTAGCTGGATCCCGTTTAATGTCACATTGACGCCAGACTTCGTTATAAAATGTCTGTTTTAAGGTTTTCTGGCTTCTCTGAGGAAAACACTCAACTTCAAGGCTCTCATAACATTTACACATTGATGGGTTTGATGGAAACTTTATTTCGGCATCATCCTACATCGTCATCTTTTATTATATGTACGATCAATCGACGTTTCTTGTATTTCTATTGACTGTTACATCCCCTTTCTGTGTTAACAGAGTTTGGATTTTACTAGAAGATGTCTATTTGAACAGTTTCAGAAGAAGGGTCCTTAAAATCATAGAAAAATCGCATGTGATGTGAGATAACTTTGCAATAATACATAATATAAAGTGCATATTCTCTATAAGTCACAGTTTTAATGTGTGTCTGTCTTTATGTTTTTAAAATACCTTTTTGAACACGTTTCTCCTGAATCAAAAATAAAACAATAAGCAGGTTTCTCCCTCCAATGAATCTGAGGCTCGAGTATCTTTACTGACTGCATAAAAAATGTGTTGAAGCATCAACGTCATGATCATAAAATGTTTAATTATTATCAGACTTCTGCCATGTGTTTGTTGCGAATGCTCATACCTCGATTATCTGAGGTTTTCTTCTGTTATTATCCTGACTACATGCCTTTGTAAACATCTGTTTTTAAAGGTGCTATATAAATAAAGGTTATATAAATAAATTATTAATAATAATAATCTAAGCAGGGCTGTTAATGCAGCTTTGGTGAAGCGTGTAACCTGTTCATTGTGTTTCCTGCAGGTGATCTGGGACATTATTGGCAACAAACAGTTCTGCTCCTACAAAGTCAAGTAAGTCTGAAACGAAACCTCCCAAATCACTTCTCTGTTCTTCACTCCCCTGTTTCAAAATGAGCAGAAAAAGATGATTTTAGATAGTTTTCTTAATGTTTAGTTCAAAGCACACCTGTGCTATAATCATGCTGTCCTATCAGCGTCTTGTTGCGTTTAGTAAGAGACAGACTCACTACTTCCTTTGGTTACCTGGACAGTACATTCAGTCACACATCGGGCCTTCACACGTGCAGAAACTTTTACCCGGAGGAGCTGTATGTGTGAACGTGGTCTGATAGGGATAGTCTCCCGCTGTGAGGAGCATATGTGAACAGCCAGGTCGGGAGAATCTCCGGAGCAGTCCTCCTGAAATGTAACGATCTAGATAATTTCAGGAGTGTAGATGTGAAAAGAGATGTTTGTGAGTCATGAGTTTAGTCAATATGCCTCAGTTGGTTTGTGATTGATAAATGTAAAGCTTAAAGGACTAAAATGTAAGAATACATTTGAGATGACATTCAAATCAAATGGAGTTTTGATGCTGAACGTCTTCTCTCATCCCGCTGTGCAGGACAAAGAGTCAGAACTTCTGTCGTAATGAATTCAACATCACAGGGCTGTGTAACCGCTCGTCCTGCCCGCTGGCCAACAGTCAGTACGCCACCATCAGAGAGGAGAAAGGTAAAGACTCCACACGCTCACAGCAGACCTTCAACAGCTGAAGACTTGTTTGATTTCTATCTTTGAGTACATGGTTTAGCAAACACACCTGAATGGCTCCAGGTTCCTCGGACACACTTAGAGATAATCATGCGTTTAAACTCTCTGCTGTAGGTCAGATTTTCCTCTACATGAAGGTGATCGAGCGAGCAGCGTTTCCTGCCAAGATGTGGGAGAAGGTGAGCAGGAGGTTTCATGCTTTTTTCTTGTTGTCGGTTGTTTCATATATAAATGTGTTTTTATAACCCGAGCAGAACTTTTAAAATATGATTAAGAATGACTGAATAAGCTGCTAGTAGTGATTGGTGTTTGTATTTGAAGCATTGGACAGAAGAGACGTATTTCAAGTTCTGCTGAAAGTTTGGACATTCTGACTGACTGTCTGTGTTTGTGTGTATTTGTGTGTTTGTGTGTGCAGGTGAAGCTCAGTAAGAACTACGAGAAAGCTCTGGAACAGATCGATGAGAATTTGATCTACTGGCCTCGATTCCTTCGACACAAATGTAAACAACGCTTCACCAAAATCACTCAGTACCTCATCCGCATGCGCAAACTGGTCCTCAAGAGACAGTAAGTCCTGCTCATGTGACAAAAGACGCACAAGAACACAATACAACACCCTGCAACAGCAACACACAAACCCTACAACAACACCATACAACACCCTGCAACAGCAACACACAACACCCTACAAGAACACAATACAACACCCTGCAACAGCAACACACAACACCCTACAAGAACACAATACAACACATAACAACACACTGCTGTATTCCTCAACATAAAATGACTACAACACTGTAAAAACAAAGAACAGATTGCAAAAACAACCCAATAAAAAAGTTCAGAGAGAGCTCAACAGAAACTGGATAAATGTTTTTGTTCGCTGTTCAACTTAAGAAAATGTTTCACAGACGTATTTCTGAAACATGGTAATCAAGGAGAGTTCATCTTTAGGGTGTTCTTCAGGGAGTTTAAAGAAGTCACATTCTGCCCTTTTTGGGGTTCTTATATTTAATCTATGTACCTACTAAAGTATGTTCACAATAGATAAAGTTCTAAAAAAGTGTCTGTTTTCATGAACTGCCGCTCCATGCACCGGCTCGCTTCTGACTCTCTCTCTAAGGCTCTGAAGTGCCCACGTTCAGAGTCCCCACGTGTGCCAAGTCTGATCTGATTGGTCGGCCTGTCGCTCTGCCGTAATTGGTCAGTCGCTCAGCCATTCTGGCTCCAAGGGCCGGGGAGCATAAACATTAGCACCTTAGCACTACTGTGCTACCGCAGGCTACGGCATATCGTGGGCGTGCCCAGAAGTTAATGGGCGTGCAACATGAGCTGCTGGTCTTACCACAACGAGCCAATGGGCTTAGATCAGTGATATCACACTGACAAGACGTCACATTGGCAATTTTTATCAAGGGGGGCTAGAACCGAACGTTACATGCAGCTAATGCTACAGCTAACAGGAAGAGGTAGGAGAAGCTGCGTTTCCGCAGACTTTCAATTTTTGCACATAGATGTGCCTAAACATGCACAGGACACGTGGAAAACACACTAAAGAGCATATAAAACCAGAAAAAGCAGAATATGGGACCTTTAAGGGTTAACAGTGTGACTTTAAATCATCCACATTCGTCTTCATCGAGGGGTCGGAGGAGCGTTTCAGGTTCGTCTGTGTTTGACTCTTCTGTGTTTTCTTCAGGAGGAAGTTGGTTCCTCTGAGCAGGAAGGTGGAGCAGCGAGAGAAGAGGAAAGAGGTGAGTCATCTCCACGCCGTCGACTCTTCACATCTTTAAAATAAATTACCTAAAGGTGTTTGAACCGGTGAACTGTGTTTGTGTTTGTAGGAGAAAGCTCTGATCGCCGCTCAGCTGGACAACGCCATCGAGAAGGAGCTGCTGGAGAGACTGAAACAGGGAACGGTACGTGACGCTCTGATCCTCAGCTCACAGAACAGTTTAACTTGACGATGATAAAAGAGAGAATTAGAGTTTAAATAATAAAACCCTAAACATTCAATTACACGCTTTATTAGAAGTTTTACGGTAATTTATGCCACAAAACAAAGTGCATCAGCTTTGATTTAAGAAGTAAGAATAACATTTGAGGATTGGTTTGTTTTGTTATTTTTTCAGTACGGAGACATCTACAACTTCCCCGTCCACGCCTTCGACAGAGCGCTGGAGCAGCAGGACGAAGAGAGCGAGTCAGAGGAGGAAGAGGAGGAGGAAGAGGACGATGAGGTGATGAAGGAGGCGTTCTTCTAGACAGCGCCTCTGTGTTTCGCTGTGATTATATGTAGTGTGTGTTAAGTGTCTGAACGTGTCTCCGTCTGTCTGCAGGATGTCGGGAAGAGAGAGTTTGTGGCAGAAGAAGAAGTAGAGGAGAGCGACCTGAGCGACTTTGAGGTAAATTATTCCTCAGATTAATTCATGCTGGAGCTCGACATCTACTGGATCAGAAAGTCTCACATTCTTCCTTTAAGAAAAGGTCAGATTAGTGTCGGCTTCG